GTGCCATCTGTCTTTCCTTAGCTCTCAGCCTCTAGCCCCTGGCACAGTTCTGATACTATGAAGCACCCTAAGACTCTGGCTGAATCTTAAATTGCTCATCAATTTCCAAAATGAATCCACCTCCAGCTTTCTTGGCAGTTGTCTGTAAATGAGTTCACACGACCCAGCTGGGCAGGAGCAGACGTGTGCCATGGAAATGCAGGCGCCCACCTCTCCCACCCGCAGGGAAGACCTTCACTCGCTCGCGCTTCTGTTTCTCCTTCACACGTGTGTTTTGGTGGAGCAAACTTCTACGCCTGAATAAATATGCGGGTTCCTTGTGAACATCCATGTCGGAAGTGCAATAAATCACCGCAAACAAGAGGCGCCTCTCAGAGCCCAGACAAACGGCTCTGGCCCACACGATGGGGAAAAGGCACCAACATCAATAACACCGCCTGCTGGAGCTGAAGGAGGAAATCAGAGCTCGGGGAGGATCCTGTTTAATTGATGTGCCGCATTCAGGGGATTACAGACTGATCAATGCAACTGGAGTAGACCTGAAGGAGGCCAATGGGGGAGGCTGTGGAGGATAAGCCATGCCCCAGACCACACAGCCAGCAATGTGGAGCCCAGCAGACCCCCAGGGAATCCAGGCAAGCCTCATCTAGAAATCAAAGCACTAAAAGTCTCTGTCTCCATCCTACTCAGGTCAGTCCACCGTGGGCACCTCTTGGCAGAGCTTAGCCATCTTTTCTTTTCCCATTATTACTATGACAAAATAGCTCAGGCTAGGACGTTTATAAAGAAAAAAGGTTTGGCCTTGCACTAGTAGCTGTAGATCCTGGCCCCTTAGGAGGCTGAGATAGGGAGGATCAGGTTCAAGGCCAGCCAAGCAGACGTATGAGACCCTCCCCCCTTCTCAACCAATAGCTGGATGCTGGGGTATTTGCCTGTCATCCCAGCCATGACAAGAAGTATAAGTAGATGGATCTCAGTCCAAGTGTGCACCTAGGCAAAAGGAGAAACTCCAGCTCAAAACTCACCAGCGCAGTTGAGAGACTATCCTGAAAATGTATGCAAAGCAATCTACAGATGCAATATGACTGTCATCGAAATCCCAACCTCATTTTCTGTAGAAGCAGAAAACGTAATCCTAAAATTTATGTGGCAGCATGAAAGACCTTAACAGCAAAAAGTCATCCCGAGCACAGAGAGCAGCGTGGGAGGTGTCACGTTATTGGACTTCAATCACCCACTGGCCCGCTCCCTCCAGGCTTCCTCCCCGACCTAGGCCAACAGGGAGCTCTCCTGCACTGCCAGGTCAAGTCCAGCTTCACATCCAGCAGCCACGAGAGCCAGAGAATGCAGACCCCGAGGTAAGGGTCTGTGTGATGCCAGGTCAAGCTCAGGCAGGACGAGCTGGGTGCTCAGCAGGGTTACCTCACATGAGCCTGTGGCTTCCACTAGGATGCTCTTTGTCCTTGTTTTCTGGCAATATTGAGCTTGAACTTGGGGCCTTACACTGGCTTACACCAACGGAGCCACCCGTCCAGTCCTGCTCTTTTGTTAGTCTTTCTTTTGGGATAGAATCTCGAATTTTTTCCGCCAGGACTAGCCACAAAAAGTGATGCTTCTGCTCTCAGCCTCCTGAGGAGCTAGGATTGCAGGCGTGAGCCACCAGCACCACTCATTCAGATTCCTTTTAACCAAACAAGCCGATCCTGAGAAGGATCTAGAAATGTCTCTCAGCTGCCACTCTAGTGCCATGGAACCCCAGCCCCAGGTGTGGGCCTGAGCAACCTTGTGCAGAGTGGGTCTCGTTCCCAGGAAGCCAGCGCCTGTCTTCATGTTCTCACCTGTGTGCACTTTAGAGCCTCTCCCTCACACAGACCCAGCCACAGCCAGGGCAAAGGTCAGCCCTCATGCAATGAGGCCACATGGGGTGGTCATTTCTGGAAGGAGGGCCCAGGGAGCTTCTCACAGCTCACCTCCATGAGAGGCTCGTGGGCCAAGACCCAATCCAAAGCCATGTGAGTCACGGTGCCGTCCTAGATCCCAGAGGAGACCCTGTGCCAGGAGGCCATCCATCCTCAGAGAGCTGTGCCCGGATGCTGAGGGGAGGGAAGAGGAGGGGAGGGGTGGGGAGGGGAGGGAAGGGAAGGGAAGGGAAGGGCCCCGCCCGCCAGGCCTCCAGCGCTGGGGGCCGCATCTCAGACCGCAGCATGCTGCGGGCAGGGGTGGAAGGCCCCGCTCCCACAGGGAGCCAGGCAGGGGTCCCTCCCTCCAGCTCTCGGCTCAGGGGTTGCATCCGGGGACCTGAGGTGAAGGGGCCACAGGTGGATTTGGGTTCCAGCTAATGACAGGCGGCAGGCTCCCCACAGCCCCCTCCTCTAGAACTTGCCACACTCACCAGACCAGCCAGGACCGCGCTTGAGCTGGAGACGTGGAGTCACAGGGTCCTAAGCCTGGGGCTGTGTAGGTGCCGGCACCATGGGTACAGCCTCGACTTCTCCCTGAGGACCCTGGTCAACGCCATCTACAGGCCTGGCCTCTCTCCGGGGACTGCTGTGGCGCTCATTAAGGAGGGTTAACTGTTACTATGGTTTCCTTCATCCAATTGAAACCTGCGGGGAGGCCATGGCCTTGGACAGAGAACCCAGGAGCACCACCAGGCCTTGGCCAGGTGAAGCTGGCTTAGGCCCCCAGTGCTCCAGGTGTCCTCACTTCTCTGGGAAGAAGGAGCCTCCAATGGGGGGTCCTACCCATAATCCTACCCTCCAGCTCGCTCCTGCAATCCTACTTGGAAGGCTGAAATCAAGGCCAGCCTGGGCAGAAAAGTTAGCAAGATCCCCTTCTCAATCTATCGCTGGGCACAGTAACATGTGACTGTCATCCCAAGCTACAAGGTAGCGTGAGATTGGGAGGATCAGTTCTAGGGCGTTCTGGGCAGAGAAGTCCGAAAGACGCCATCTCCAACGAGGGAAGCTCGATGCTGTAGTATGTGCCTGTAATCCCAGCAAAAATGAACAGCCTAAAGTAGGTGGATTGCAGTGCAGGTACGCACCATGTGGGAAGCAAAATCCTAGCTAAAAAATAACCAGTGAAGCCGGGCATCTGGAGCTCATGCCTGTAATCCTTGCTACTCAGGAGGCTGAGATCTGAGGACTGAGGTTTTTACCATCCTAGGTAGGCAGACAAATCCCAGAGACTTATGTGTCTGACCAACCAGCAAAAAGCCAGAAGTGGAGGTATGACTCAAGTGATAGGTCAACAGCCTTGAGAAAAAAGCTAAGGGACAGCACCCAGGCCCTGAGTTAAAGCCCGAGTATGGCACAAAGAAAAAATAATATTTTTTTTAAATCAAAACTAGTGAGAAACAAGGCTGGAGGTGTGAAGTCCTAACCATGGAAGTGTGAGGCCGGAGTTCAAATCCCAGGTCCACCTCTTCCACCCCCCTCCCCTTCCCTCCCTGCTACCCAAGCCACCAAAATTCCCGTTTTCAACATAGTCCCATGGGACCTCCTTTCGCAATGTGGGAGGCGGCAGCGTCATTGCTCCCATTGGATTCCTGCTGCTCCCCAGACCCTAGGAACCAGCTGTCGGGCAGAGCCGTCCCTATGTGTACCACACCTTGGGTGACCCTGGAGGCTGGGGGACTGAGTCCTGAAGGGTGGAGGCCAGAGGACCCTGCCAGCAGGACTGAGGATTGAATATCACTCTGAGCTCCACCTGCTGCCCAGTCTCGAAATGAGGAGATTGAGACCTCAGAGGGCATTTGACTTGTCCAAGGCTTAGCTTCCTCTCTACTCTAAGCAAGACAGCAAACACCTGCCCTGGCAAACAGACACAGCACCTTGCTTCTGCTCTTCTGTTCTAAGTATGGGTCTAGGCCAAAGGCGTTGAAGGTGATCAGAAAATGCCAACCTATCAGATGGCACCTTGGCATTGGAGAACACAGCTCCCGTGTGGTGGGCCTTCTCCCCAGAAGGGGTTAAGGCCTTCAGGGAGAAGAGGAGAGCCGGTCTCTGCAGACCGAGGCACAGGAGACCTGAGCGCGAGCCCAGCCACGTACCCCACATTCAATGACACATTTCTTGTCAGGCCCAGATACGCAGAACGCCCCTTTCTTCTGATCTTCCCAGTAATTGTATATGCTTTTCTCTTTATGAGTCTGTGTTCAGTTGCATCTACCCCAGCCCCAAACCCAGGATGGGTGAGGAAAGGGTGTTTTTCCACCCACCCGGGCCTGCCAGTTGTAGCCGGTCCAGACTTGCCTGCAGTCACCCATCTCAAGGGCTGGGGGCCAGCAGTCAACAAGGCCACACCCACGAAGGTGACCACAGCCCACCAGGAACCAGGCCACACCCCCGCCCCGACCATCAGGGACAAGCATTGGTCACCCTGGTGTGGTGGCACACCGGGCAGATCCCCAGGCCTCAGCCCTCCGGCCACGGCTGGTCCCCAAGCCTCATGGAGGGCTGGCTATTCCCAGGGGCTCAGGACGTCCCCACCCAGGCCCAGCGCACATCTGAAATTCTGGATTGTCTATAGAACGGCATTCCATTGTCACAATCATTAGCACCTTAGACACAAATGCAGCGTCCTGCAGCACAAGGACATAGTCCTCTCCTGCAAGCCACCGAGCCAGGCATGCTGCTGGCCACCAAGGCACTTAGGCCACGCTGGAAACACTTTGCCCACAGCGCCCCCTGCTGCCTAGACTGGCCCTCCTTGGAAAGGAGGAGGCACCCAGCTACACCCCTGCCCACTTCCAACACCCCTCATCCATACAAGAGAGGCTTATTCGCCTTCCCCACCCCCGCACCACTCCCTCCAGACTGAGGGAAAGAAAAGCTAAGTCACAAGGAGAATCTTCAAACCCCATGGGTGGGAGCTCTCTGGTGGTCTGTATGTGAAAGCTTCTGCAGGTCTCATTCTGGCTCCTATATGGGTTCACAAGTTGGGTTGAGACTGCACCTGAGCCAGGCGCTTACTGCTTGGGGGTTCAGTCCAGGCCTACCTCCAGAGATCAACTCCAGTAGGACCATGCCTTTACTAATGGCCTAGAAGAGGGGTGGGATTTGGTGGTGGTATAGTCTGGGCTCAGGGCTATGTATATATGAGGCTCTGTGTGACCCCCATCACAGCAAAATAAAACACCAACCCGACCTCCTCTTCATGAAGAACAGAGAGGCACCAACTTGCTTGAAGTCACCCAGTACAGAGGCAAGAGCAGAAATGGCGGCTATCCCCCCACTTCCTTAGCCATCTGGGTCCTTCCTGCCACCGCTGTGGCATCCACTCCCTGGGCCTCCAGCTGTTCATTTCCCTGAAGTCCTGCCAGCGGGCCCTCCATGACGAGAGGATTCCTGAGCCAGAAGTGGAACCAGAGATTTGAGAAGCCAGGCCTAAACTCCAAGAGTTTGACATGTCAAGTCTGGCAATTCTCCCCGTATGCCAAATAGAGACGTGATAAATGGCAGAGAAAGATTTATTACACCCTTCCTTGGTATAGAAAGAAGCCAATATAAGCAGAACAGCTCCTCTTTAGCTGTCCTGAGGACAGACAGGAGCTAAACATTTAAGTAGAGAAATATGCAAATGATTGGCCTAAGGGCGGGCTGCTTGATCATTTCAGCCTGTGTTTCCATAACAAGGAATTGTTATTGCTTCATCCCTTGAGGCCTGGGTGCCCAGAAAGCGGTCTATCCACAGGAGACTGTTGTGCCACAGGGGTAGTTTTGATCCTTTACCTTAAAGATGTCAGTCTGTCCTGTCTTTTCTGGAATCAAGGTAATTGTAAAGGGATTGCCAAGAAAATGGAGAGTATGCTGTAAAGACACAGACAAGCCTGGCGCTAGTGGCTCACACCTTAATCCTAACTACTCAGGATGCTGAGATCTGAGGATCATGCCCAGGCAGGAAAGTTTGTGAGACTCTTATCTCCAATTAACCACCTGAAAACCGCTCAAGTGGTAGAGCGCTCACCTTGTGTTGAAGAGCTCAGGGACAGTGCCCACAACTGACAAAAAAGACAAAATGGAGGCAGGGATACCAAGCCTTCCTTTCTCCTACTTTTAGTGCATTCATGAGCCCAAGTTAAGCAGCCAGTGCTTTTTAGCAGACCCTAAGCCAGATTCCTGCACACCCACCCAATATTCTTCCTATGGAAGGTCTGCAGCTCTGTGTGTTGTTCGTATGCATACTTTCGTGTGTGTGTGTGTGTGTGTGTGTGTGTGTGTAGCCACTATTCCTTGTCTTTTCAAAAACTCAAGGCTTGGCACTCTAACACTTCAGCCCAGTTCCACTAACAGCTTTTTTTTTAAACTGTCATCGATCCTCAGGTCTGTCTCCTGAGTACCTAGGATTACAGGTGTTGGGCTTCCCCAAGGAATTTTTTTTTTTTT